CTAGGGCCACCTCACGGTTACCTCAGTGTCATGCTGTTCCACAGCCGATGAATTGCGCACTGAGTACATTGCCTTCTTCACCACGCCTCAAATTTGGGATTCCTTTGGCAATAAATTGGTGACAATGACCACCAGTTGACACTATTATAGCCCAATTTATGGTCTAATATTTGCCCATTTTATTCATCATGAAGTTCACAAATACTTTTTTTTTTTTTTTTTTTTTTTTTTTAGTGAGCTCTATGTACAGAGAAGGTGTATTTCCAAGAGTTAAAAATAATACCTAATGTTAATCACGCACTTGCTCTGAGCTGGACACCAGCCTAGGTTTAGGAGCTTTACTCACTCCTCACCCAATGAAGTATTATCACCAAACCCATTTTTTTCAGATGGTGAAACTAAGGCACAATGAGAATAACTTTTTTCAAGGTCACCAAACTAGCAAGTGGTCAAATTAGGCAAAGAACCAGGAAACATGGTTTCAGAATTCCCACCTTTTAACATTATAGCTGACTCTTAAATTTTATAGAAATGAATGTATTATATAAAATATGGGAAAATTGTAATTTTGATGGCTATGCTGCTTTAATTGAAGAAATATTTCCAAATTCTGGTGCTAGCTCACATGGAAATCATAAATACAAAATATGCATCAAAATACCTTCAATGTGATTTTTGTAAAAATCAAGAACTTTAAAAATATGGTAGAACCTTGGTAATATTTTTAGTAAGATTGTAAGTGATCAAGAAAACATTTTATACCACACAGATTCATCTTGAGACAAAGTATTTTAAGATCTGTTGAGCTTAAAGATATCCTTTTTTTTTTTTAAACTAAAAAATACATGTTTTAATTTTTTTCTGAAGAAACTCATGCTATGGAGAAACTTGGAAACAAATGTCTGGGAAGGTGTCCGTGTCTGGGTAACTTTGCTGTCAAAAGTAATGTCTCACCGCCCTCACCAGCATAGCTCAGTTGGTTAGGCATCATCCTGCAAAGCAAACGGTCGCTGGTTTTCTATTCCTGGTCAGGGGACATGCCTGGGTTACAGGTTCGGTCCTCAGGCAGGGAGTGTATGAGAAGCAACAAATTGATGTTTCTCTCACACTTCAATGTTTCTCTCCCTTTCTCCCTTCCTAAAAATCCTAAGTAAAATCTTAAAAAAAAAAAAAAACGGTTATGTCTCAACTAAAAGATCTATTTGTATAAACATGGAAAAAAGAATTGGTAGAGGATTGGAAATGTAGTATTGTGTTGTAACACACAGAACCAATGAGGCACGTCTTCCATTTCAAACTGTTGTATCTCTTCTGGCTTTTCAAAAAAATAGCTTTATTGAGGTGTAACTGTCATACGAAACTGCGCATATTGAAAGTGTACAGTCTTAAGTTTGCCGTATGCATACGGCAGTGAAACCACTACAGTCAAGAACTCTTTTTAGTGTCAATAGCCATTAAGCACAATAATGAAACAAACAGGCCTTCACAACAGACTTTCTAAGCGCCCTCATTAAAACACAATTTAAAAAATAGTAAGGGGAAAAAAAGGATTACGGTGTGGAGGTGGGGCATAACTCTCCACTCCGTACATGCGGGAGGCACACAGGGACCTTCTTCCAGAGAGAACGCGGGAGTCACTCCACCGTGGAGATGCTGACAAACTCTGCTTTTTTCCTCTCGCTCTTTCCAACTGCAGTCTGTAGTTTATTCAGATCTCCTGATGTCCTTTGTATATTAATACCAAATTACATCTAGTTGTGTTTCTTTAAGCTCCTGTCGACTGCGGCAGTCTGACTTACCTTGGTTTTGATTTTGACAGTCTAGAGGACGATTGGTTAAGTATTTTGTAGGGAGCCCCCTCTCTTGGGATTTTTCTCACCGTGGGACTTTGGGGTTACGTTGTTACTGGGGAAGAGGACCACGGAGAGAAAATGCCACACTCACCACACCGTATCAAGGGTAGAGGCTGGCACCATGACTTCTCACTGCGGATGCTGGCCTTCGTCACCTGAGGCCATCTCTTTGCTTGTACTGAAATTGGTAATGTTTTACTGGACCCAAAAAGCTTGGTACCCTTCATAAACTTCAGGTGGAAAATCATCTTTTTATGCTTCCCAAGTTTTTATTTATCGTAGTACATGTATATAATTTTAAAATAACTATACATATAAGGTATGTACTAAAAATGTTTTATTGATGGACGCTGTTGCTCTAATCTGAAAGATTCGCTGATCTCAGCACTTTAATTTCAACCAGACCTGGATGGACTTGACCAGGGACCTTATGAAGATTCGTCAAGTCAAGCCGTTTCTAGGGAAAGCAAAAGAAGTCAAATCGTGTCTCCTGTCCCATCCTCTGCCCACCGGGGCTACTGCCCTGTGGGAGTACACTCAGTCTGCCATCGTGAAGGCTGGCTCCACGTAACTACGCACGGAGGACAAACATGATTTTTCCTTTTTCATAGTAGGTAACAAGGCAAGATACTGTTCCCCTTGTTTTAAAAGGACTTTATCCTTAGTCCCAGAAGAGAACCCATTGTTGTACATACCGCAGGCTTTGGCTCTGTGCCGAACTGTGTGGGACTTTGTTGCCACATTACAACTGTAAAAGGAGAGGACAAGCCATAAGGGCCCTTCCAGGCCCTCCCATCCGCTCTGTCCGTGTCCCTCGTTTCTAATGGGTAACACGAGAGACAGTATTATGCCTTTAGAGTAGACCCCCTGGACCTGCCCAAATCTTAGGGACTTACCACATCCCTATCTGGGTCTCCTCAAATAAGAATACCAGTGCCTCAGCAACTGAACCCAGAGCAGACCGCCAGGCCACTGCGGCTGCCTTCCATGTGCAACTGCCAGCAGGCGGGGAGGCAGGAGGACTTTGCACGAAGTCAGCCGAGTGCTGCCGGCACCTGAGGCTGATAGCAAGGTGGGCAGGGCTGCATTCCACAGGCGGCAGACTGCGTCACGGAGTAAAAGCCAGATGAGCGAGTTTCTCTTGGTACCTGATGCGGGGACAGTGTGGCGCTGGTCTAGGGCGAGGCCTGCTGACCAGTCCCTGACTTACATAATAGCCATGGCATTTTCTTTCCAAAAAACAAAAAAAAACCAAAAACCAAATAACCTTTCCCTGTAACACAGCTACCTTATCTACAGACCTCTGTCAATCGAGGGCGAGACGCGAGCCTGGTCATCATGATGTGCAACTCGACCCCTGAATGCCTCTGTACTGACCCCGTGACCCGCTGTGGGTAACGAATATGTAAACGGGATCCGCTGCAATGTCACCAGCCCCAAACTCCTCCAACACTCACCACGGACAGGAGTGTTGGTGATGCGGCAAAGTTCCAATAGCCGCCCCGTGGATCGGTCCTACGGACACTCATCAGCTCGTCCGATGGCCCCAGACTTCCAGGGCCGACCCAGGGGTACTGAGCAAGGGGCTGGCTGACAGAGCCTGGGCTGGCTCCCTGCACCAGCCCTGACCTCCACTTTCTGCACAAGGAGAAAACCCACGCAGTACAGCTTGAAACAATGGAACGAGCACTGCCTGGGAAGCCTGAGCAGAGGGAGGCACTGAAATGGGCAGCGGTCAGCCTCCCAGCGGGTTTTGCACAGGGTTAAGTGCAGCACACACTCTGGCAGAAACTGGATTCAAAAAGTTGTCCAGGTTTCTTTGCCTTCCTGCCAGCAATTTGAGTGGCCACCGCAGGAGGGAGCGGCACAGGAGGAAGTACTGACGGTTACAAAGAACCAGCCTAACTGGTTTGTCCTAAGGTGCTTCCTGGCCAGAGGCTCTTAAAATGCACACTCCCTATTCCAGTGTCCCAGGGAAGACACATCATATATGTGCACCCACGCACAGTCATACATATACACGCTCATATATGTTAACCACACCGTACGTGTAAGTTGGCATTACACTAAACATTACTGAAGACTCTGCGATTAGCTCCTGATTTTACTCCTGTACATGGAGTTGGACATTTAAGGACTTAGGTCACCAGTAAAAACCTCCCCATGTGCAAAGTACTGCAAGCAGCTGTCCCGAAGAACTTCCTCCAGTAAGAAAACATCGCCTCCTAATGGTGAGTTATTTAAGACACTCAAATGGAAATACTGAATGTCAATTGTAATTGAAAATTTAAAAAAAACCAAAAACCCAGAAATAGAGGCCAATCATTTCTGAAAAGTCAACGACGAGCCCTACTCACTGTATCCAGCACCAAGAAAAATCTCATATTTATAAATTTTGCTGGACAAAACTCTTGGCTGACTTTCCCTCTTCCTTTATTTTTGGAGCAAATTTGTACTTTATTCTTAAGTTTGATCAAACAATCATGACACATTTACAGGAGATCAATAGCGCAAAAGAAAACAGGCAATTTAGAGAAGAAATATTTAAAGATTTATTTATTTTTAGAGACAGGGCAAAGATGAAAGTGAGGGAGAGAAACATCGATGTGAGATAGAAACACCGAGTGGTTTGCCTCTCACACGCATCCCAACTGGGGACTGAACCCACAACCCAGGCACGTGCCCTGACCAGGGGTCAAAACCTTTAGTTTCATGGGATGATGCCCTACCAAGTGAGCCACACCCATCAGGGCAAGAAAGAAAATCTTTAGAAGTTTTAATATATAAACTCAGATGGATTTACCATCATAAAATGTTAAAAAAGAAAACAGCTCTTACGGAATTTTAAAATACGATTACAAAGTTCACTAGAAACACTGGATGATAAAGGAGAAGCAATCATTCAGATTATAGAATAAAACTAAAGAAAAAGAAGTAATCAGGGAGGTTCAAGGTCCAACCAATTAGAATTTTACAAAATATAAATTCAAACGCAGGAGTCCAACCTGCCTGAGGAGACTCCCGCCCGCCCCTGCCGGTAGCCGGCAGCCGGCACCCCTCAGGGAAGGACCCGTCGGCGGCCCGGAGGCCCGAGGGTCGCACCACCGCCACGGGGCACCGCCAGGACAATGAAACAAGGAGTCTTGGTGGAAGTTAAAGTATTTATTGATGTGTTTAAAGTCTGTACATTCTCCACAGATCAGATTAAGGAGTTTGTAGGTGAAATTTATCTGTGCATAGTGGGTGACTATGGATAAAGAGACATGGATAAGGGAAAGGGAGGGGAAAAGAAACAAAACCAAACAGTCACAGGGAAATAGAAAAAAAAAATACACCACAGGTTACCAGAACCTTCAGAATAAAAAAAAGCAAAAGCTGTGAGCATCAACATCAACTATACAGGCATCACAAAGATTCGTGTGAAGGAAACAAGGTCTTCAGCGCTTTGCGTGGTGTCTACAGGCCATTCCAGCGTCCTCCTTCCACGTGAAGCAAGCCTCCCACGGTCTCTCCTGGGCCGCTGGCCCCCCGCAACTGTAGTCTTGAGTGAACGCTAACGAGGCTGGTGACGGGAGAGGGAGTGCAGGGAAGTCAAGGTGCAACGGGGAGGGGCGAGGAGCGGTGCCGTCAGAGGCAAACGTCCACGGAGGCAGAGCCAGCACATTCGGACACTACTGGGGAGGGACGTGGGCTGTGAAACGCCGCAGTAAGTAGAGGCGGACAGTGAGGAAGGTCATGTACAAACTAGTGGCTAATGCCTGTGGAAGAACTGGCCGTAGAAGGAGAGCGGTAGTGGGCGCCCTACTCTGTATACGTTAGGCTAAGCTGCTGGGACACAAAAGCTTTCACCCGCCTTGGTGACAGGGCTCGTGTGGGGACACCAAGGCTCCCGGCAGCGGGAACACCAGACCTCCAAGAAGCTGGTCCTTTGAAGTAATTTTGAGAGGGTATCAAGATGTGCTTCAATGGTCTTACAGTTCCCTACTTCACTCAGTTTCTCAGCCACTTTCTGCGAGCTCATTTAGAAAGGAAATACTGCCTTTTTATTTATTTAATTTTTTAAATAAAAACCAGGACAGTGAATGAGCCTTAGCCGATTTACACAATGTAACTGGAACAAACGACCTGCACAGACAGCCTATCATTGCAAATGGACATTTCCATGTCTACAGAGAGCTTGTGTAAGACAATACAATAGAAGTGGGATGCCGATTCATTTAAAAAAGAAAACTACATCAGTCAAATATCTGCAATAGATCATTTTCTCATTTAAGGTTTATATATCATATATTGTTATATTAACATTTTTTTCACCCATTTAAAAGAATGGAAATTGTGATTCTACAGTAGTACTTTACAGTCTTAATGATCCAAGAGGTCTGAATGTAAGGTGGAATCCTCTGGAAGTAACTGTTGGTCAGCAGTCGATCCAAAACGCGGGACCCCTCTGGCCCGCTGCGCCCCCCCACTAAAGTGGGGGAGGGAGGAGGTGCACCTTCTCCCATTACACCTGCATCTGCTCAAGATATTTGTAGGTCGGGTTTTCGTAACCATGGTTCTGCATCTTGTTCAGGTGACGCTCTTCGGGGGTGAGCATGGGGTCGACCTGGAGGACAAAGACTGCAGATCACTGCAGGGCCCCTCAGAGGAGGGCGCGGGGGTCAGGAGGCCCGCGCCGTTTGCTGTGCAATCCTCTAGGGACCAAAGCCAGCCCGGCGTCCCACTTCCCCGGGGCGAAACAAACTAGCTGGTGGTCAGGACACAGACAAGGAGAAAAGAGGAGGGTCCGAGGGGCAATGCTTCTGAAGCTGGGGTCCTAGAAGCTCCGTCCAAGTTGGAGAAAACAGTGAACTGGGTTTCCTAGCTCCACGCTAACAAGCACATCCCAGCCCTGCACTAACCGCCCGGGACAGCCCAGGTGAGCACCCCTGTGAAATGCGCACCGGGGCCGGGTGACCGGCGGGGTGTCGGCCGGCTCTGGAATTCTAAAACTAGGCCCATGGCCAACGGGGGGTGAAACCAAATAACTAAGACAAGCATCTGAACTCATTTTCTAGCGCTTACTATATTGTTTATCGAATTCATTTGCTAGAATCAAGAGACTGGAGATTTCCACCACCCACCAAAAAAATGAGTGATAAGCCGTTCTAATTATAAATCAGCAGAAGATGAAACAGCCTCTTCCAGTTCTTTCTAAATATCCTGTCCCTTTTTTCCCCAATTAAAAAAGAACAGTATTGGTCCTAGTTCATGTTTCTAAGACTTAATTCACGCATGACTGCCTTTGTTGCGTCATGTGTCGCAGATCTGGTTTGTTCCTTAGAAAACAAGTCTACGACAAAGAAAAGAATTACAGTCCTTCATTCTCAAGTATCTAACACACCTAAAAAAACACTAAGGAAATTATCGGAGAAAACTTTTCAGCCTCTGCAACAAAAAGTGCTCTTATAAAATTTCCTTGCATTATTAGTCAAAGCCCAAATTAATGCTGAAAGTCAGCAACAGCCCTTTGTCATGGAATCAACATAACTCAGCTGGGGCTGACTGCCAAACGGGACCTACTAATCCAGGGAGCAGCTTAATGACGCGCGGCACCCAAGAAGTACAGACGTTTGAATTCCACGAAGCTCCCAAGAGCAGCAAGCAAACCCTCGCCAGCTCAGGGCCACGTCGGAAGGAACCCCGCCACTCACCTCCACGATCCCATGGCTGATGGTGCCATACTGCCTCTTCCTCAGCATCACCAGGCTGATGACTATGACCGTAGCAATGGCCACTGCAATGACCAACAGGCCGATGAGGGCACTGCTGCTCAGACTGAAGTCTTCTCGCAGTGACCCCACGGATTCCTAAAATAACAAAGCAGATGAGCAACAAAGCCCGGTGACCGTCGGCACGATGTGAAAGACAGCAACTTAGAGACAGGCAACTCAGTCAGGGCCCGGGTCCTTTGGCCGCGCCTCTAAAGTCCGAGGGAGCTCCAAGGGCCGGCTTTCCCGCCAACCATCCCCGGGGGGACTCCCACTTTCCAGTCCCCGTGGGAGTCCTGGATTGAGCTGGCCTTGCGTTCGGGAGCTAAACACATACCGGCTCTTCCTCAAGGCCTCCAACTCTCTCAGAATTAAAAATCATTTCCTTAACATCCAGAGTCTCGTCAATGACCTGAAACAGCATGAAAATGTCAGTTACTGGGTGGACGGGGAAACAGGATAAACACAGCTCCATTTACTATTTGGAGGAGGGAAGCAGCCGCCTGATGGACACCCAGGCCCCCCACAGTCCTGTCACATTCACCTAAATCCCACTCGCCACAGCCCCGGGGGGAGGAGGCAGCGTGACTCCAAGGTTACTGTAAAGCAGTGGGTTCTTCAAGGGCCTTTACCTACATTTTCCTCTAGGTAGCTGTTGTGGAAAAATATTTCAGGACAGAAAACCAAGAAGTCAAGTTGAACCATCAAACTCAGTTCAGAACAATCCAGAAATAGGAGTGACAGGAGTGCTGGAATAGTAATTCACAGGAGGTACACACCGAAGGCAGTGCCAGAACCAAAGCCAGCTCTCCTCTATTTTCAAGTTACAAAATCTCTACTCACTTGAAAATGACCTCTGGCATTTTATTCATCTCTTTAGTTGCAAATACATTTTCCCACTGCATAGCAAGAAATGAGCTACTGCTGAGAAACAATCCTTTACTCTCAGACGCAGGCGCTAACCAACACGGCAGACCTGTGGCGCAGCTCGAGCCCCCGTCGCCCACCACATGGCGGCTCTCCTGGGAAGCTTCTAGGCCAATGCCACTCACTCTAATGACCCTCAGAATTAAAGTGGGGCGGGGCAGAAGAGAGAAGGGGCTCACCATGTTTTCATCCACTTTATTCTTACTGTTAATCACCTTCTCCTCAGCACCTATCAGTCCTCCGTCCTGCTCGCCCAACCCAGAGCCTGTGTGGAGAGAGAGCGCAGCTGAATTTCCCAGGACGGGCTGATCTCCTGCTTCTCGGGGAGGCAGCAAACTCCCTCCGGAGGGCAGGGAGCCCCACCGAATGCCTCCCCCTGCAACTCAGTATATGCCACTTGGTTCCCATTTCTGAGGAAGCACTGTGCTCCCTACATATGGATGAAACAGGCATTTTTCAGAGGGCTGATGGGAGTAATGAAGCGGAGAGAGTGTTTACTTGTATCCACTTGGAAAGGTGGAATGCAAGCCTCCAGAAGAGCATGTTTACTGTAAGCGAAACAGAAGCTGAGTCCAACGGCGTCCTGGCATGTGACACACGCAGCGCCCTGCGCGGCACTGCCGAGCTCCCTGCTGTCGTCCCGCAACTCCCGCCCTCGACACCTAGGGCCCGCTTGGAATGGAACAACGGTTAGACCGGCAATGAACCTGCATGTCCGCCTTGAGCATGACATTTCATCCCAGTCCCTTCTTTCTGCCTGAGATAACCTCCCTGACCTTAAGCCCTATTTGTCCTTCAAGCTACAGTTGTTCTCAGGACACACCCCCAGGATGTAACACTTAAATCCACTGCCTGTAATCACTGACTTTCTCCGCTGTGTCCCACTAGGCTGTCACCCTCTCAGGGCCTGGATCAGAGATGGTCACATCCTCGATGGCTATTAGAGAAGGAACAGGCAGGAGCATTCCACCAAAAGGCAGAACCCTAGCACAAGGGTGGATGGTGCCTTCGATACACAGAGCAAGAATAGCAACACGCCTCTTGGCAAGGTCGGACGTGGCCTGAGCCGATGTCACTGGCGCGTGGCGCTCCAAAGATGCAACGTGACGGAAGCCAGCACTAACCCAGCAAGAGAAGATGAGGAGCAATCCTCTGTATTTTTAGCTCCAAAGCATGTGACTTCCAGCTTTCCTAACACTTGTTATTAATAATAGCCTATACAGCTCTATATTAACACCTATGACTTGAACTTATTATAAACAGATCAGCCTGACAGGATACTCAGCATTCAGAGGTGACCGCCTGCAAGTGGCTACCATTCAAACACGAGTCTATGCAAAGAGTCTACTGCCGTCCCCGGGCTCGCCAAGGGCAGGTGATGGCACTAGCCCGCCCCAGCGAAGCGCTCCAGCTCCCGACCAGAATCAGCACGGAGCCATTGGTAGCAGCTACTGCAGCTACAAAGCCCACAGGCCAGCTGACTGCAGTCCCTCCCTAGAACACAGCCAACAATGATGCAATGTTTCTAAAAGTTGCAGTTTAAAGAATAACCTTCCAACTTGATTCTAGGGTAAGCTGAACCAGGGCTGGCTTTTGTAATTTTAAAATGCCAATGAAACAGCAACACGGCACTTTAGCTATTTGAGAGAGGGGCTCCGAGCGGCCTCAGAGAGGGTGCTCACGCGAAGCCCGTTGCCCCGCAGGTCTGAGTGCCTTCTCTCCCTTTTTCTCAGAAGGGCAGGATCCTGTTTGAAACCTAATAGGCCACTGGACCTACTCCTAGTCCAGGCTGCTCTAATGCTTTCTGGGTTCTATAACCCACATGTTTCTTAAACACTAACCAAAACCATTCTGATTTTATAAAATACATAAGCAAGTGGTTTTAAGAGACCAAAAGTTAATGTTTAAATTATCCCAACTTAAAACAGTTGAGGTATGAGGGTAAAAAAAGCCAGTTAACCTTCTAAAAATTTCACCTTGATCTATAAACATATTAAGATGCGCTGTTCAGAGGACTGTTACCACAGTGATGAAGAGGTGCATCCTAGTGGATAGAGCAGCAGCATTCCAGCGCAAGCAAGCGTGGGAGGCCTTAAACGCACTCGCGGGCTCTGAGGAGCCGCCGTGGCACAACCTCCACCACATTCTCAGCCAGAACACGCCACCTGGTCCATCCACAATCTGTCTGCACGGCCAAGAGTGGGCTCGCAGGACACACACTAAGACAAAACATCTGAACTGGCTCACAGTGACTCCAGGGACGGTGGACAACGCAACAACCTGGGGAAGTTCCGCAGCCGACACTGGCACCGTATGTAACAGCAACAGCAGGGGCTCTGAACACTCAGGGAGCTGGGTCTCCCCGCCTGAGAAACGCGTTAGTCTGCACGAATCCTGTCCTCTCTCAGCCTTCTTCAACGGCCTGATCTACAAAAGAGCAAAAATCCTACCTGCAGTGTGCCAGGGGACTGAGTGAGAACAAGGAGGCAAAGGATCCGGCACAGTGCGTACATGACGTTAACTCTGCGAGGCGGAGACTCGCTGCAGCGAGTTTGCCTCTCCCCACCAGTTTCACCCACCGGCTCTTTAGCGTGTTTTGATCAATGCTGTAAGTCAGGGACCTGAGACGGCTGGCAACAGACAGATGGGCACAGACAAAGGGCAAGGAACAGCTAAAAAAGGAAAAGATGTCAGTGGGAGCAGCGGCAGAGAAACAAAGGGGAGATTAGGGGAAAAAAAGACTCTCCACCTGACCGGCAATTAAGCGTGTTCGTTTCCATATTAGCAGTTCGCAACCAACCAACCTTTTAAATTGGATATACTTCTAAAGTCTACCCAGAATAAAAGGGTTTAGGAAGACTCCATTTTGGCTGCTGTGCTACTCTGCGGTCCCCCAGACGGAAAGCTCAGGATGGCCGCCTTGCAGCCAGCATCCCTGACCCTGGATTCTGGGCGCTGGAGACGGGACTGCTCAGGGCCCCCCCACAGCCACGTCTGAAACAATGAGGTGGGAAAAAATCGGTGATGCTATGAAACAGAACATGAGACTTTGGACACACTGGGGATGTGACAGAATGAAGGTCTTACAGGGGACATCTCTGACAAACCAACCTTTTTTCATTGGGTGGTACAACTCCGGCTGGGTGTCTAGCAGAAAGGAAAACAATAAAAACAAAACAGCACAAAGGAGATTAAGAAAAAAAAAAAAAAGGCGTCTTTCAAATTTCCTATTTTAGAATTCCTCTACAATGTGAAGAAAAAAATACTCCTTAAAAACCTTGTCTGAAATACCCCATAAACCAACCAGCAGTAATGACTAGAAGGTAGGAGAGAAAGCAGGAGGTCTGTCTTGGGTCTTTCGGGGAAAATTTTGTGAAATTCCCAAACTATCGGGCTTAGCCACAAAGTTCTTTTTCTTAGAAAATACTACAATCGGAAGTCAGCATTAACTGTGGTTTTCTGAAAAGGAGACAAGAGCGGGTTTCGGAAAGCGCTGGCGCTTCTTGCTTTGCTCAGCTCCTTTCTCAGCTTCCGTTGCGTCACCAGAGGGTCAGCTGAGTTGGTGCCCACGAGATAAGTAGCGCAGAAGGCAACTGAGGTCCCAAGCCTGAGCCAGAGGCCCCTCCTCCCCACCCGGCGCCTCCCTCGGGCCTCTGTCCAGCACTACGGCATCTGGTCAGAGGCGAGTGATGACCTAGGACTGCGGGGCCAAAAAGCTTGCATTCAAACCCTTCCTCTCCACCTGCCAGCGACAGGACCCTGGGCAGACTTGGCCTCTTTAAACCCTGGAACCCCCAAATGAGGGCTCTCCCGCAGAGGGTTATTTTGCGGATTAACTGAGAGCATCCACAGTGCTGGCCTTCGCTGAGGACTCCACCGCTGTGGCCACTGCTCTTATCAGCACCACCGGCAGCAGCAGCCCCGCAGCAGGGCACGGGGCTCGTTCCGCGGCTCGTTTGTTTCTGGTGCAGACCCACAGCACTGAGAGATCCCTTCAGGTGCCAAGAGCCAGCCAGGGAATAAAAAGAGAGCGCGCAGACTGCAAGGAGAGGAACATCGCTTCTTATCCCCGCCTAGTACCATGGCAACTCATGCCACCTGTGCAGCCGCTCCAGTACCTAGCTCCCAAGACTGTTATGAAAAGATACAAACATAACTTAACATGAAAGTGCTATTTAAACTGTAAAATGACTTCCACATGTAAGGTTTTACACATACTGGAGGTAGCTAATCAGACCAGGAAAAACTGTGGTCTTTAAACAAACCATGTATAAAATGTGAGAAGTATGGCTAACCTCACGGTGACATGGACACCAACTATCTGAAAGCTCCCACTACAACGCTTGCGCTTAGTAGGTGCTTGGTGAACCGAGTCTCCCTTTCCTGGTCCCACGTTCACTGGAACACAACCTCTCTAACACAATCCAAGTTCAAAAATCTGACTTCAGTTTTTTAACTGCGTCTTCTCTCCCCTCGCCCCCACGCCCCCACCGCCCGCCCCCCGCTGCCAAGCAGCTGCACCGTGGATCATACACACCTTCACTCTCAGGTAAGGACGGGAAGGGATGGAAGGGGTGGAATGGCGGGATCTCATCACTCTCTTCAGAGCTCACCCGGACGTCCACGGGGGCCTCTGAGATAGAGGAAGTGAACTGGTCCATGTCTGCACGCTGTTCTTGAAGTAGCTCATCTGACAAACAGACATGGCAGGGAGCCAGGTTTTCAGAAAGATCTAGACTTGAGGCACAGGACGTGAACGAGACTAATTCATGTCATTACAGAGGGCGAGAGCTGCCAAGAGGAGCGTCCCACCAGCTGACAGCACAGTCACCCACCTCCCAAAACGCCTTCCGATTCTGTGGCACCGCAGAGCCCCAGCACCGGGCACCGCCGGGCTCTGTCCTGGGCACCCCCTCTTCTCATCAACTTGCCGTTTTAACATACCACCCATGCGTCATGGCTCCCGAATCTGTTCCCCTGCCCCTGCCGCCAGAGCTCTGGCTCACCCGTCCAGCGGCCTCCCTCACGCCTCCCTCCGTGTCCAAAGGCAACTTCTATTCAAGGCGTGGAAAGACGGTGCTTTCCCTCAGTAACACTTGGCACCGCCACCCCCTCATTTGCTCACAATGAAAACCTGGGCATTAATTACCCTTGATGCTTTTCTTCCCCTCACCCTCCCTCCCAACCCACAGCAACCCCATTCCCCTTCTCCTGAAACGTGTCCCAAAGACCACCCACGCCTCCCCCGCCCCTTACCATTTCAGTGCACAACCACCGTCTTTCTCCTGGATTTTTATTCCTGGGTGGTTTCCAATTTTAATCAACTTTCCACAAAGCAGCCAAGTAATTTTTTTTTTAAATTCATGCTCTTTTTAAAAGCATAATGCAGACCTAATCACTCACTAGTTTAAAAGCCTCTAATGGCTTTCGGTTATCCTGGAATAAAAGCCAAACCCCTTGATTTTGCTAAAATCTCTTAATAAAGTGGCCTCTGCCTCCTTCTTTGACCTCATTTCTCCTGATGTCCAGACCTCCCTGAGCTCCTCGAATGTGGCCCCTTGGGTTAAATGTCAGGCTCTGGGGGAGTCCCTGCCTGTGGCGACGATGTTCTCTCCCCTGAGACAAGGCCCTCCACCACCCAGCCCCCACCGCCACCCCCCGTCCAGCCTCCCCCCACAGCTCTCACCACCATCTGACCCTTGTTTTCCTGCCTGTCTCTCTCCTACTACAACATGAGCTCCAGGAGGCTCCGTGTGCTAGTGCACCATTTTACTCTGTGACACAAAGCAGACACAATAAGTATTTGTTGAATAAACGGAGACGACAGAGACCAGAAGAGGAAAAGGAAGTGGGAATGTGTGTAGAATAGGTGCCTTGAGATACATCAGCAATCAAGAGGGGAAAGGTAACAGGAGACACCCCCCGCCCGGTCCCTTGCAATTTTACACCCTAGTTTTTCTTCCGGTAACAGAGTGAAGGTCAATGAAACTCAAGGCTCTGGTGGCTCACAGCCAGTACTTGACCTTGACACATGAATTCTGACTTCTGAAACCACAGTGTGCTACTGTCCAGCTTCACGGCTTCACTTGTCCTATTTCTTGAATCAGTCTCAAGCCTTAGCAAGAATCCCACCTGACTTAGATACAAATACCATCAGCACCCACCAATTTCCTCTTGGATTTCTTGGGCTACATAAGGTACTTTGTAGAGCAGAGAAAGGCTCTGGTTCCTTCTTTCTTCAATCACATGGAGATGCGTCATCACCTGGAAGTACAATGTGGTGGAGACTCATCAAAACAGCCGGGCCAGGAGGGACATCACACACACGCTTCCGCAAAGGCCCGCTGAAGAGATCCACCTCCACAGCGTCCAGCACAGAGGTCGGCCCGCGCGAATGCATTAGCCCCGTACCACATTTACCAACCACCGACGTGCCAGAACGTGCTCAGACTGTGTAACACCCTTCAGTGATCTGAGAATTTATCCAGAGTGTTCCAAGTTAAAAGAAAATTTAAGAATTCTCGATAGCCAGTTATTGATGTGATTTTTATGAGGAACTTACTAACCATACTGAATGAGTTAAAAACAAACAAAACGCCAAAACACCTAGTTTGTGCAATGCCATGTACTTGGTAAGGTTTCTGAGTGAAAATGGGAAAGAAATGACTGATTTTTTTTTTTTTAACCACCAGTCAGATTAGATGGGGTAAAGAGAATGAAATCACTGGTTAAAAAGTAGATTTGGTGAGTGAGGGGACCATTCAGACTTTGCCTAGTAAAGTAACTGGTTCAAATGACTATCACGGTGATAACTAGTTTATTCTTATTTAATTAAATTAGCTGTTTTTCAAAAAATTATGCTGAAGTGTATACAAACTTGACTTTAAGGGGTGTTAAATGTTACAGACCTTCCTTACCATCCGTCTTCCATAGCTCTCTATTCTTTCTGAATGCAAAATTTCCAAGCTTGTTCACTTTTCTAAAAAAGCAATTAAAACTGTTCACTTTTAAAGCTTTTCAGGGTGGAAAAGAAAGGCGATTTAAGCTAACTTCCACCCCCGTAACACAGTGAGGCACGTGGTTGCAGCTCATACAAGCTTTTGGAAAAGGTTATTCCTGTCCGGTTACACTTGCAGTGATTGAGCTCTCCCTAAAGAGGGCGATCTAAACCAACGGATTAATTCTGTGGCCTCCATTAACATGAAGGGTCAAAGGGGCGGGGGGAGAGTTACATGGAAAGATGCTTTTATTGTAGATTGATAGCTCTCTGACCTGTAAAAGCAAGGATGAAGCAATTTAATTTTATATCTGCCATTCTTTCAATCAAGTAAATGGATGGGAAAGTACAAGAGTAAATCCTCAGAGAAAAAAATGCAAATAGAAATCAAAACACGGACCACCTACAGTCTTAGCATGTGTTGACATTATACTTCTTCAGATGAACTAAGGAGCCACATGGGAGAGGACGGTTCATACGTCCACGTGAGGACGTGAACCACAGGGCGAGGATTACTGGACATCAGTGTCCGTATGGCGAACCTCTGAGCTGCGGTGTGAGGGGTAAAAGCGCCACATCACTCACACCCAAACTGCATCTGTGCGTTCTAATAGGCTGAACATGCTCAGGGCTCTGTGGAGTTTACATAACAGAATAGGGAACAAAAGGTTAATGGAATTCAGTAGCCAAGCTTCACCAGAAGTACAGGCTTAGTGTACAGAAAACAGCATACGCTAGAACTGGGTTTCCCCCCCGAGATTTTCTTAGGAGGGTTCTACGTCCTGTGGGACTGGGTGGTCACTTTGATCTTGCTTGCAGGTTAACTCATTCCCTAGTTATTCATTTCACAGACTGGTCAGGTCTCTCCTAATCACACAGAACAGGCTCTTTTTTCTTATAATGTCCTACACAATAGTCCAAGTTTTCCACACACACAAGAAAAAATTTGAAAAAATGATTACTTTAAAAAAATCGAGACGACCTGAAAAACCTAACCACTGTCAAGATGCGTGCACTGTTCCACCTAAGCTTCCCGGAAGCCACTCCAGGGGATTCTTGGCCTTTCCCCCTTCTACCCCAGCCAGCTTCAAGAAGAGAAGTGAGCTCCAGGCCCCCACCAGGGGCCCCTAAGGGTCCCCAGACCTGGCCCCTTTCATCCTTCCCATCCTTTAGCAGCCCGAGTTGTATCATTACACCAAGCATCCAACTCCAACGGTGAACCTACATTTAAGGACAACTATTCTTCACCTTTATAGTTCACAGAATTAATTCTGTACCAGGCTGTGAGCTGCTCAAGGGCAGACAGGGATTTATTTGACTTTGTACGGCCAGATGCTAGGGCAGAGTTTGGCAGGTGGACAGGAAGCACACAAACATCTGCTCGACGAGCGGAGCAGTGACCTCGCCACAGCATTCCTAAGACTGCCGGGCGGCCCGCCTTCCGATCACAACAGATACGCGACAAAGGGCTGGGAGGGGCATTCACCGGGCACCCACAATCGACACAGGGCTGCATTTGTAATATGGAAGGAAGTAAAATGTGATCAGCCAGGTCATTACAAGGCCCTCTAGGAAAATTAATAGGCTGAACTATGAGACTTTGTGATTTACAAGGGAGCTAACAGTATTGCAGTAGGCAAGCTCACTATGAATACGAGAGTAAAGAAGTTAATGCATGGACACTATCGAAATTAGAAAGAGCGTCCAGAAACAAACTCTCTCACATCGATATCACTCTCCCTCTTTCTCTTTCCCTTCCCCTCTCTCTAAAAATAAAATAATTTTTAATTAGCTTTTTTTTCTTTCAAATTTAATTAAACTAAGAAAAAAGCTAGACCCAGCATGGGGACAACACCCTAGAATGTGGAAGTGTCTGCTTGAACAAAAAGTATAATGTACAGAAGATACCAGTTTTTAAGATCTGTTTGATGCATCTGCCTAGAGAAGGATTTCAAACATTAATTCTGGTGGCACTAGAGTTACACATAAACTCAGGTATCGATGTACCTCTTCACTATAACCATGCACTTCTAAACTTCCAGAAACTGTTTAAATAGAAGGTACTTAAAAAAGTATGGAGAAGATATTTTTAAAATAGTACCTTTCCAAAATATAAATAAATAAAGTAAAATGAAATAAAATAGTACCTTTACAAAAACCAACTCTCATACCTAGTCGTCTTTGGAAATCAAAATCACTGTCTAAGGCCCGACGCCAAGCACAGTTCAGTGCTGCCCAGCGGCGGCCGTAGCGGCCCCTCCCAGGGCGGCGGCCCCTCCGCCTCCTGTACCTGGGATTTCATCTGGGCCGCCTTTTCCGGGTCGACAGCAAGCACGTGCTGGTAGTGGCGGATGGTGTGCAGGCGGTCTTTGTTCTCAGCGCGGACGTAACGCCGTAAGGCCTGGAGAATGCGATGAGGCTGCGAGAGGGAACAGTTGCTTTATTATCCAGAGAACAGGGAATTGGAAATAGACAGAAAAAACGAGGCTTTAAAAACTCTCTTAGGAATGTAAAGCGCAGTGAGGCACAAGAACAAAAGCTGTCCTTCCCAAAGTTTTTATCACCAGTAACAAGCAGCTACCTTTCTAAGCACCAAAATCTAAGTTCGAAAGTTACATCGGCCCCTTACCAAACACGTTTTTCCACGTCCTTCTCCCATGTGAGCTTTTGCTGGTTCAGCCTCCGATACCTTAATTACAAACGAGGCGGTTCCCGGGTCCCCCAGAAACGACTTTACGTGCTCACCTAAGAAGGAGGCAAATACCCTCCTACCAATACTCTCCATCCCCCACCAAGCAAGACAGGTTAGAGAGAGTGAAGGAATGGAAAAGTTTCAGACTACTGGCGCAAAAGGGTTTCTGTAGAAACTACCCCTTTCTTCACAATAGCTCAAAGCCTTTGTCCATGGAAGGCATGTTTTTATTCTTTGAAAGTAAGGCTATTACAAAAATTCAGTAATTGGATAACTACCAGCCAGTCTCCTGAGGTTATGCTCTCTTCGCGTCAGATACTCCCACAGCTCAGGGGGCACGTGCGAGCCTAAGTGTACGCTAAGCTAACATAAGCAGATACTATTCTCCTCCTGCCTCTTCTCTCCTTACTTCCAGCCTTGCCAAAACTTGTCATAAAAATGTCACTTTACTGACCTGCGCGTCATATATTGGCTCCACACAAACACTACTTCAAAGCAGGTCACACGGAGGATATGCTTCACCAGCAACCTGCTCCGCACACGACTCACCCGCGGAGGGTCAGACTGCAGGGCGGCCAGGTAGTTCTCCAAAGCCACGCGGCGGCGGTCATTCAGCATAGCTTCCACTCGAGCTAGGTGGGTTTCCACCAGCTGCTGCTTCTCGCTGGCCGCTTCTTTCTCTAAAGCTTTCACCATAGCTTGGAAGTGCTAAACCCAGGAAGCAGACAACATCATTCATGGCACCCAGAAGTCTAGGCAAACAACCTGAAAGCCCGAAGCTGGCTTCTCCCGGCCCAGAGCCTGTGTGAGCTGGCAGCAGGTTCAGAGAGTGGAGCAAGGTTAAGGCCCAAGTCCTGTACAGTCAGTCCTCACTTATTATCAATAGCTCCTGGGACTTTACGCCAAAAGAGGTGCAATGAAACCAGTTTCACCATAGGCTAATTGATATGAATGAGAGTGAAGCTGCTACGGCATCTCATCGACATCACAAAACGATGGTGAATGACAGGGCTTGTGAGGGCAGGCTGTACTTTATCTGATTCGTTAGGGTAACTGCTTCCTTGTCTAGTAAAAGCACGGTAAAGCGAGTGTCGGAAGGAAGCCTTAGCATTTCCCTGACATTACTGGTTTCTCCACGTGCACCGCAGGAAAAAATATGCTCTGCTTTCTACAATGTACCACAGCCTAATAGGGGATGTATTCTGAACTGTCTCCCAGTAATAGGGTGAGTCCTGCTGAGTCATTCGTACTGAACGCACGCTGTTATCTGTGCCGTACCTGGCCACATTTAAAGGTATAGTCTAAAGCTGCTGGATCAATTTCCCTGCATGGGATGCACTGGCTATGTAGAAATGAACACTCCTGGATTTTCTAGCTGTTCTGAGAAAGGGTTCTCATGAGAAGAGAGGTTTCCACTAAATATAAACACCAACTACTTTAAACTGTTTAAAAGCTTTATGAAATCTAAATCCGTCTTGTAGGTTGCTATCCCTGTTCCTATCAGGAATACCTGTGCCTCTTGTATTCAAGGAGAACACAGTTGCTGCTATGATTCCAAGGCAACATTCTTACAAAGTTAGAAATGAACTGGTATCAGAGAACATTCTTTTCTGCTTTTTGATTTTTCAATAAGTCTGTTAAAAAAAAAAACCTCAGCTCAGACTGGTGTGGCTCAGTTGGGCGGAGCACTGTCCCATAAACGGAAAGGCTGCAGTTTCAACTGGGACTCACAGGAGAGGCAACCAAGCGGTGTGTCTCTCACACAGATCCCTCTCCCCCTCCCTTACCCTCCCTCTAAAATCAATAAGCATGTCCTTGGGTGAGGATAGGGGAAAAAAACAGAATTCAGTACAGCTGGAAAAAAGCCCCAGCCTAAGAATGAAGATGACCGAGGACTTTTGCCAGGAACACAGAATTAACAAACACAGCCAAGCTAAGGTTACTCTCTGGCATGCGTTAGGTGCGCTCTGGCTGGGGATTCGCTTTCCTTCTACCATACGTGAGCTACACCAGAAAATACCAGTTGGGAATTTTTATTAAAAAAAGAAAAAAAAAGGGGGGGGGGCAAGCCAGTTAAAACTTCCTTGTAACATAAACTCTCAACTAAAAGGAGGGGTCAAACTCTAACTTCCTGAGAGTGTGGCTCTCACTGCCTCTCGGAGGGTCAGGCCGCAAGCTCTGTCCCTGGAGAAGGCGTCTTACCTGGATCAGGGTCTGCCTCTCTGCTTTAGGGAGGTTCTTCGCTTGAAGCTCAGCCTCTTCCCATTCCTTCTTTACCTAGAGCGAAGGTCAAAGCGCTCTAACCAGAGTGATCTCTAAAACAATGCCCCCATTTTCTAAAAATACTGCCGGGCCCTGAATCGAACATAGGGAACTGTGCAAAAGGAAGTCACATGTACGATGCACTATGGTGCTCGTGTTGCTCTGACGTGGCCCTTTTAAGAAAAAGAAAACATCCCTGAGACTCCAAACCTCCAACAGGCAGCAGTGTAGAGCTAGCTAGTATCTCACTTTCATTTAATCCATTTTTACACTTACCTTTTTCTAATGGCCTGTGATACTAGCTATTTACAACTGCAATACAAAGTGTCCTTAAAATCAAATTTTAAAGCTAGCTAATGGCAAAAACGAATAACAACAAGCGTGCAACGCGAGCACGCAGAGGGTAAAGGGGAGAAGGCCTAGACACACGGAGAAGGCCCACGCATGCTCTCACACCTCACCTGTCCCGGGCGACATGTTTCGCGACAATGTGGGGAGATGGCGTCCCTTTTTTCCAACTATGAAAACCATGTCAGCCAATGCCAAACACCATGAAGATAAGGAAAGTGCTGAGGTTTACCCTGTCCATCCGGTTGCGGTGGCGAATTTCCAGCTGCTCCTTGGCCTTCTGGAAGCGAGCATGTTCATTGTCATCCGCAGAGGTCTCGAAATACACATCGACGTCGTTGGTTGGCAGAGGAGTTGGGGGAACTGAAACAAGATGACAGAGGGAGTTTTCCGTGTGGGGCAGGCCCACGACGACACTGCCCCGCGCTCCGGGGAGAAAACCGAGCTCGGGACAGCCGAGTGGACCAGCTGCGCTCCAAGGACAGCTCCTGTCTGCCAAGGGCCGGCTCTGTCACGTGATGCTGGTCATCTTCCCTCACGTGATAGTCACCCACCAGGCCAGTCCAGGTACCCTGACAACTGCGGCACCATCAAGGCACTTACTTAGGACTTCGGGGCAGAAAGGGAAACCACTGCCTCTATACTGTCCTTCAGTTCTTGAAATCTTAAAACCCAAAAAATAACTTCCTGTTGCCATCACCGGGAGCAGCTGACCGGAGACGAGGGCTGCGGGCAGACCAGCGGAGGCACTCCCACAAACTCTCTATTTTGAAAGGAATCTCAGGGCTCAGGTCTCTTCTCTTCTTGTTGTGTTTAGGTTAGAACCGACTTTGGGACACTGACTCAACTGAATATTCATTGCATATAAACTGAGCAAAGACTCAACTGCTCTAGCTACAGTTTTTCAGTTTTTGGATTCACTGAGACTCTCAGCCCCACCCCCAATAAGAGATAAGAGGGATAAAACTAAGTTGCTGGATTGTGAGAGGACAAAGTTGCTATACTTAACAATTCACTGGCCTCAGGGTCATCGCCCAGAGAACAAACCATTAGAACCACCACTCCTCGCTGCTAGACAAGCATGGGTTCGGATTCACAGGGAGCCCGGGCAAGGGAGCATCTGCACAATGGAGCCCAGTCTCCTGAAGGAGAAGACAGGTCACTCAGGCAACCTCTCACGGAATACGGATGTCATCTCCTGTTAGTCCAAGTCCCTCGAGATTTCCCAAACCAGGGAGGACTGACAAGCAATTTGCTGGCACAACTTATGTATCATGATATGTTAGAACTAAGTGGGCAGTAAATGCGCACATGCAACAAATTCTATTCAGAGACAAAGACACCTAAACTGCATAACTTCGATAGAACTTTAAAACAAAAGTACAACTAACTGACGAATTTAACTATAAATGCATCAGCCACTCCGTCAGGACACCTTTTATTTACTAAACCTAAAAATAAAATCTTCAAGAATATCTACTCCCTACACACATTTAAACAGGATCTCGACAGCCAATTTTCAAATTAAGTGAATTAGGGGATAGAGCTCTTCACAAACCACATTTCCCATGATACACAAAAGTTCAGCTGGGAGAGTCTCAAAGCACTGAAGTCCATCTGCGCCACAAGCCACGCAGGCCTGCAGCTTGACGGCTTCCGTGTTAGAAGCAGAGCCTTTGGTTCCTATCACTGGGCTGGATGAAGGTAAGACCGAACACAAGCTGCCTCCACCACTGGAAACACAAAGGGAAAGGAGCCGCAGGCCAGGAGGTTTGGTTCTGCAGAGACGGGCTCACACCAGGACCACATCCCTCTGTCCACGTGAACACCACCAGCTCATTCGCCCGACTCAGTCCCCTTCGAGGAGGGACACAAACTTGACCAGCAGAACGGTGGTGTTTCTGCGCTTTCAATGCACCCCAGCCAGGGGCCCCCAAAGTACGTGAACACATGCAGCTCCCTGGCAGGGCTCCCCTGCCCGCAGTAACAGGGAACTACAATTCGACAGACGTTGTTAATGCTCTGAAAAACTGCCGTTCCTGATGGAAGGACACCTGACTTGGGGTGGTGAACACACACTACAATGTGCCGATGGTGTATTACGGAATTATACGCCCGAAACCTACCTGATTTTATTAACCAATGTCACTCCGATAAAGTCAATAAAAAGGGATAAAGAAATAGAAGGACTGCTGTTCCATAGTGCCCTAAGGCACTGCCTCTCTGACTCCCGGGGAAAACAGCGCCATCTGCAGTGAGATCTTAGGGGACCCCAGATTCCTTGCCTCTCTGTTTAAATAGTTTTACAAAGCAGAAACTATCAATTTCTACCTATTTTTCCTGCATAAAAAACATTTCTGCTAAAGGATTCATATTTTGTTCACCTTTTCAACTGTATCTAATAAAAATAGCCTGGCCACAAAGCAGCAACTGGAGTGGGAGCCGGAAGGCACCCCACGTCACACTGAGGTTTCGGAAGCCTGTGGTGGGGGGGGCCACGAAGGTATTCGAACTGAAAACTACCAGAAGCTACAGCCAAATACCAGGAACAGGCAGCAACTCATTATTCTAACAACTTCCAGAACAGGAACCAAGACAAGACTGCCTGGCCGGAGGATTTTCCAAACACAAGACAAGGAGGGTCTTAAAAAGGAAAAGGGGTAAACAAGGAGGAAAGCAAAATTTTACCCACCCAAGTGAACCCGACTCAACTGAACTCCTGAGTTTCCTGGGTCACTGAGGAGCATGCAAACTGAAATGCCTTCCCTACCTCCGTCTGTCTGCGTGACTCAGTGTTGCCAAAACACAGGGGAAAATAGCTCCCTCCCTAGGGTGCATAAAGCAAGGTATTTCAGTATTCCGGGCCCCCAGAGTAACCCCATCATCTCTGTTTTGGAGAGCGCACATCACGGGGGTCGATGACAGGACAGTTCAAAGGCAAGAACGAGAGGCAAAGCCTGGAAACGATCCTGTGCAGAACTCACGGCCAATCTTCTTACCCTTTTGTGCCTTTCAACTAGAGACAACCGAGGACATGGCTGCCTTCCAAACCAACGCAAAGCACTCTGGGAGCCTGCAGACTACACGGAGGGATGAGAAAGCACAGGCCCCCGGGCACACCCATGGTACCAGAGAGGACACGCACCACCACCACCACCACCAGCACCAGCACCAGCACACCCACAGTGAGCACAGGACATGGAGAACCGAGCTTACAACTGCCCACAGGGAAGCAAGGCTAGATCTAGAAAGCACAAGATGAGGGAAAACGACTGACAGCAAACACCCAAGTGGGCAGGAAGCACTACACAGATGCAGTCACGTGGACGGCCAGGGAAGACAAAACGCTGGACAGGACAATCTGCTGCACAGAGCCAGCGTGGCGGGACTTACTCATCGTTTTACACACAGCCATACAATAATCCTCAGACTCAAAATTGTTCCTGTTGCCTCCGCAGCCGCCATATATAAAGCGCACGCACTTCCCCTTGGAGAGGTCGAAGTACCAACGGGGCATCACGGCCCGGCAGGGCCCCGTCATCGCCTCCTGGGAGCAGACAGCTGTGTGGAAATGGTCAGAACGTCAGCGGGACAGAGGCAGCCGCTTCAAACGCTCCACAGCGCTACGGACCGCGAGGGCTGGGCCGGGTGAGGAGGAAGGACCGGGGGACAGTTAGCATCAGTGAAGACTAAGACTGGACAGAACCTGGACGCCCTGGCTGGCTCTATCACCAGCTCAAGCCAGTCATTTCTGACGATGCAGTCATTTTCCACTCGAAGGCAACACAGACACTGAGAAACTGAAAATATTTTTGGTGCTCTCGGGTCTAGGCTGATGTGCAGGTTGACAAAGGAATTCCTTATTTCATAGCTCCGCGAGCCCCACGTTGCTGATCTGTTGTTAGGCGGAGATGTTTGCCCGGTGTGTCTATGCGGGTGGCATCGGGCCCAAAGGAGAACGCAGCGGGGCAGGCTGTGTCAGCGGTAAGTACCACAGTGAACACTCCTTAGGCACCTGGTAAGGATGAGCGCACGTTCTGATGTTCTCCAAGGTGAACCGCACCATAAATTTCTAGACTCAGTAAGTAATTTCCCCCTAGTTGGGCCCTAAATAGTTCTTCAGGTCTTGGTTGGTTTCAAATACACAATCAGCAGGAGGTGAAAGAGGTTCTAGAACTGTCACAAGTTCTTTTTTTTTTAACTGACAAGATGAAAAAACTGCTGGTTCCCATCCCTTACCAGCAGGTCATTCAATTCTACCCCCCAGTCACAAACATCTCTTTAAGGGATAGACAGGGCAGCCTACAGATTTCAACACACTCAGAAAGAGAAGAACCAAGGAAGCGAGCCTATTCCACGCAGTCAGGGCTTTAGCAGTAATGGGGGGGGCGGGCACCCCTGCATGAGAGAATGCCTGAAGCTGAGTGTGAAGGAACCCTGCCCAAGGGTAGGCCATGTTGTTTCTCCTACTGTCCGCTTAAGTCCTTACAATGCACAGAATAGTTTTCTGATTCAACTCTGCACCTCCCCTGGCACGTGTCCACTGGCAGACTCTGCGGCGGCCCAGCTACCACGGCTACGCTGGCACCGCTCGCCCACTGAAGGGCTGACTTGCCCTCTGGCACACAGGAGCACATCGTCTCTCCTTCTGTAGCTCCCCTGTGAGGGAGGCAGCACAAAATTCCAAGTAAATAATTACCATACGGATTTTACTGCCACTGCTCTGTGTCAGGTTACCTTTCACATCGTGAGTAATTTCCTTTTCTGAAATGGTCCCATCGTTGCTGGGTTCTGTTGGGTTTTCTTCATTGTAGTCATCTCCTTTAAAGTTGTCGTAGTAATAATCGCGATCTTCCACCACTTCCTCCTCTTCCTCCTCATCCTCGCCATCTTCATCCACAGCAGTCTCTGTGAAGTCTTCCAAGTCAGCTTCCGTAGGAAATTCGCTACAGGTCACAATACAAGAGGAAGGTTAACACCAGTTCCTATGACAAAACACAACAATGACTCTCTTCCCTATTCTCAAACACACAAACAGAGACAGGAAGCAAGCTCAGCTCGCACTGAACTAAAGCCCCCAGCCCAGCTGCACCAGCAAAAGAGCAAAGCTAGTGAACAGGAACCACATTAATCTGTAGAAAAGACTGTGACCAGAATAACATGAGACTGAAGCCACTGGCACCCCCGTGGGCAGTTCCAGCTGGACTGAAATGCAAGCTGGCTCAGCCCCGGCCAAGCAAGGCAGGCCCCCTCCCCCAGCGGCCCACAGCCACCCAACGACAGTTCACCTTTTAAAAATATCATAGTCGTCCTCTTCATCCTCCTCTCCCTCCTCCTCCTCCTCTCCCTCCTCCTCCTCTTCCTCTTCTTTGGACACAGCAGACTGGACGACCTTTGTTTGAGGGCAGCACACGTACTCAGTGCCGTGGAACTGATCTACGCCACAGGGCAGCAGCATGCCGTAGCTGTACAAAGTCATGCCCTGAGTCAGACAGGCCTAGGAGAGACCCACAGACCAGCATCAGGACACGCTCTGCTCCTTGCTTCCGCCAAATGAAGCCCTTACCACACCACTATTTAATGTGCTCTCATGGACACGTAGATTTTCTGTCAAAAAGTCATGCTGTTATGCTTTTAAGATTTTCAAAGTTCGCTTATCTAGACCAAAAGCATTGGAAGTCCAAAGACGGAACAAATTAAGGAGGGGGATCTTCTTCCAGTGATGATCAACAGCAGCCAGGAGTTCATTCACACTCTCCTCTGGCGAGGGAGGACAAGGACGCTTCCTTAGGGCGTGACCGAAGAAAACAAACCCACTGGAGTCCCAACTCAACTCAGGGAGACAAGCGTTAAGGAAGCGCATTATTTCTCCCCACCAGAAGAGTGAGGCGACATCTATTCCTGTCAGTATATTCGAGCAGACACGGAGGTTCCATTACTGGCAGTTTCTACCCGAGGCCTCAGGGTTAGAACGGCATTCCTGGGTGCCCTGCTGAGAGCACCCTTCTGCGTGAACAATCCTTTTCATTGTCCCTAACTTCAGGGCCTGGGCTGGCAGCACCAAACCTCCCTAGAAAAATATCGGTTCTTTTCCCAAACATTGTTAGTTTTCAAAGTCACTGCTAATTTTGAAGGGGTGATGAAGAAATTAATTTACAAGCACGGTGAGGTCTGTAGGAAAATGCTCCTGTCTCTCCTAACAAAACAACACCGATCTTCCCATCCATCCTTTTACCTCTTTGACAACCGTGTGCCAATGCTGGTGGTTCTCGCACACCTCCATCCGCTCTTTGTGGAAAAACTGGCACTTCTCCGGGACTAACAGAACGTCACTTACAAATTCACCCACTGGAAAAGAGAAGCTTTGTCAAAAGCCAACCTGATCACGATTCAAGGTGAAAACACCCCTCACTGCACGTTACTGCAGATATATAGTCAGGTGTGTAGACAGGCGCTGTATCTCTCCTCTTCAAAGGCCGAAGGAACGTTACAACTCTGAGCAAACAGCCACGAGAGCTCAGCGCTCCGCTACTGCTGTCAGCCCAGGCCTGTTCTCACTTATCTCGGGTTCCACCCCTCAGTCCTGATGCAGAGCTACAACAACACAGGAAAGAGAACAGGAATAGAACCCCCATCCAGGACCTCAAACACAAACACACACACACACACACACACACACACACGCACGCACGCACACACAGCTTCTTCCCCCACCCCGATTTCACATAAAGAATATTCCTAGCTCTTGAGTCCTGTATTTCTGCCCATACGGATTCTAGTAACAAAATGCCCAGGAAACTAAGACTGGGTGTTCTCCTGAAGTACAGCTGAATCTTACAATAGCCCTTTGTGTACCTAAAAACACCTAGTTCTAAGACCAACCGCCATTGTAGTAACTGTTCGTCGATAACTGAATCATCAGTGGAAAGCTACTTACAAAGGGGAACAGGGGTCTTGGCAATGGAAAACTCTGGTAGACATTACCCTAACCAGGTGACCAGTTTAACATCACCAATCATGGACAAGCTGACACACGTGATACCCTAAGAACACATCACCTAGTCTTTCTATCAAAATATGTCATTTCAATCTAACCATGTAAAACAGTAAGACAAATTCAAATTCAGGCATGCTCTGGTAAACAAATGGCCCTGAAGGCTCTAGGGAGGTACAACTCAGTACACAAACTACCAATTAACCAGGCTCCTCTCCCCACTCAAAAGATTTAGATAAGGAACTGTATTCCACACTGGCTGCTGCACCAGTCTGCATTCCCACCAACAGCGCATGAGGGTTCCCTTTTTCCACATGCTCCCTAAATCTTGTTGATGTGTAGAATTGTGCACCTGAAACCTGTATAGTCTTGTTAATCAGTGTCACCTCAATACATTTAAATAAAAGAAAACTGAAAATAGAGATCTGCCACCAATCTCTAGCTATTCTATGAGTGACTTAATTTGACCTCTATAAACCAGAAAATGACTACCACTGAATTGAAAAGTAACCTAAAATATAAAAATGAAAAAACAAAAAATACTCTTTCATTCTATAATACAATTCTAAAAATACATTCCAAGGAAATATTCAGCAAGTGAACAAAAACATTCATCACAGTGTTGTTAATAAAAAAAAAAGAACCAACCTAAACGTCCACTAATAGGGAATTCATTCAATATCGGTATGTATACACAGTGGAAGACTGCGAGGCCCTAAGAACTACAGTGCCTGTGAATGTTTGGCACGGCCACTTGCCAACGGACACCTGCAGCGGACGGGCGAGGTGCTCTGAAGCACCGAGGTGCAGCTGCTGAAGACTGCACCTCAGAGCTTGAATATGAAAACTTCCTTTGGTATGAAGTCTTCACATCACAGTAATGCTGCCTGTCCAAATCGCCTTCCCAAATAACCAAACACAGAACTGTTCTGAGCGTGGAAAGCTCTTGAGCTCAGGAGCCAGACTATACATAACTGTCAAAGATGACTGACTCCTTCCCTACAAATAGCGGCGGTTTTGTTTCCTCACACATCACCAACAATGTCCTACTGCTCAGCTCATTCTGTTCATTTAGGTAAGTTTCTATAGATAAGCAGGAGGCAAACAGTAATAACAGGAAATATAAGATTCATTTTGAGAAGACTGAACTGTAACTTTTCACCAAATGTACTAAGTATCAATTAAAAGAGTTAAATGATGTGGACACAGATGTCTGCAAATTGCGTGACATCAGGCTTCATGCAAACACTGCCCTCAACCCAAGTTCATCCTCAGGTTGCTTTCAAGCATCCTAATCAAGACACACCCTTCCCCTCAATCTCACAGAAACAACAGAAAGCAGTGCCTGAGTACACAGACAAGGCCCCTGGAATATCCAAACCAATTAATACGGGCACCCAACCAAGACAGACTCAGCTCTCTTTTTCTCCCAGTTTCCATCTCCCCACCCTGCTGGCTTCCCTATGATTTGGGTTTGCTAGGCAGATCTATATTTAAAAGAGGTTTCAAGGCTGAAGCTAACCACACTACCATCTATCTCTTTACGGCAGCTCACAGTCTTTACTTTAAAATGTGTAAGAGGGTTCTCCTTGTGGTTACTCCTGGTGAATAAAATATGCAAGACTCTCACTTTTTACTGTATTAATTTCTTGTACAGTCTGTATGTCGAAAGAACTGAGTATGGTTGCATAATTTCAGTAAATGTACTATAAACCATTAAACTATGGGTAAATTATATAACATGAATAATATCTCAACAAAGCTATTCTTAAAAATCAGAGAAATTATTATTTACAGGGGATACTGAAAAGGTTTTAAAAATATACTGAAGATAGCCCTGACCAGCGTGGCTCAGTGGTTGTGCGTCATCCCACAAAGCAAAAGGTCACTGGTTCAATCCCCTGCTGGGGCACATGCGAGAGGCAACTGATCAATGTGGCTCTCACCTATCAATGTTTCTCTCCCTCTCTTTTTCCCTCCTATCCCCCTCTCTATAAATGAATAAAATCTTCTAAATAAATAAATACACATACACACACACTCTGAAGGTAATAGAATTACAGGTATCAACATGAGCTCATTGTTTTTAATACATGCACATAAAGATAAAAGATTTGTGTCTGCATGTAATATATATACACACATATAACATCTTTCAGCTGTCTCCTGAGTAGACCTAGAAGCAATAACACTGTAATAGCAGTAAGCACATCTAATGCTCAGATCTTGGTTCCTAGATATTCTTTCTTCCCTACTAAATGAAACCAGGCCTTCTTGAAGAAATGTCTGAGCGCAGGGGTGGGGTAGAAAAATATAGGATGAGCCTAGCGCATCTTTTTGTAACAGAAAGTAAGGAAGCTTTCAAAGAATGGTAGGGACATGGGACACAGCAACCAGCATGAAGGGGCTCCCATTGGCAAAATCTGGACAGTGAGTCTGTCCACCATGAAATAAATGAATGCAGATTTCACCTTAGCCAGGTGTAAAAGTTAAGACTGATAATGAAAGAGACATCATGAAACTCCTAATGTGATGCAGCAAGAACATTTCTGTAATAAAACTCTTAAGAATGAGTAAGTCAAAAGGAGTAAGACAAACCCAAACTGCAAGACATGCTACAAGGTTAACTGGCCTATAGTCTATTAACGGTGATTTTCAACCAGTGTGCAGTAAGGATTTTTAAAACATACACTATCTGGCTATTTAGACGGGGGTTGACCTCTTGCCCCCTTAGATTGTCAAATAGACTGTGACCAAGACAACAAGACCCATCCGGTGTGAATGAATAAAAATTATACCTGATTTTTTTCATCGTATCAGCAAAATATGTATTGGATATTGGATCAACGATAACTACCTGATTTTGATGATTGTACTATGCTTATTTAGGAGAATGTCTTTGTCTTTAGGAAATACATACTAAGGAATAAAAGGACATCATGCCTGCAACTTAAATGATTGAAAAACAAGTAGTTAAGATTAATTTTACCGTATTAATCAAATGTCAACAGAAAATCTGAAATCAAAGGAAAGGGTATACAAAAAGCTCTTTATACTACTTTTGGAACCATTCTGTAAACCTGAAGTTCACTTTAAATCATTATTATTTCTAAATTAAAAAGGCAAAAGTAACTATAAAAGTTTATCACCAAAGGCTTTCTAAGGAAATCTACGGTAAAAAGAAGGTTGTGCTGATTACTAACCATGTCAGTTCTACCTGGGCACTCTGGGGCGGTTAGGTGGAAGGAGCGGAGAGACATTAAAATCTACTACGTCTTAAATGACGACTGAAGGAAGAATCAACAGTATTTCTTTCCTACTGCCTCCCTTAAACTCCAGTTGCCTGGTCCTTCCCTTAGGCTCAGACAACTGTATTCATTTAAAAATAAAAATGGGTAGCTCTACTAAAAATGAGTAACTGTCTGAAGAAGTGACACTGCAGATTGGATAATGCTTTGTGACGATGCAAAGTCGGTACTGAATAGTTTATGGTCACATCGTCTTTATGCATTGAGTTAATGACACTATCACTTCACTGTCTGGCCGTGTAACACGCTGATAAATTCAAACCACAGCATGTGGAAACAAAGCAGTAAAGCGCACGCTCTGCTGTGCACTAGCGATGTCCGCAGTCCCGTCGTCATCACAGAGCGTGTCCTACGTGCTGGGTGCCGTCACGGTGCTGAGGGAGTGAGAACTGAAGCAGGACTGGTGTTTTCAAGGTATTTACAACAAAGGTAGAGAAAGAGACATAAACAGAAATCACTGATTGTACAGCATGATTTGGTATAATGGCAACAAAATGAAGGGTTTCGGAAATCTGGTTTCCTAGGTAGAAAATAAGACCAGGAGGAATGGCTTCCTTTAAAGGAAGCACCCCGAGGTAAGTCGTAAAGGGAGAACGTCCCAAGTAAAGGGAGGCAGAACAGAGTCATTCCGAACAGTGAGAACTGGATGGCAAGTGGCCAGGAGCCACAAGGTGTCCTCGCTGATGTAGAGCCGGAAGCACAGAAGGGGGGTTGGGTGTCACAGAAAGCAGAGTAAAGTAAGCAAGGCCCACATTATGGAGTTTAACCCATACCGAGGAGCTTAATTTAACATTGTTTTTTTCCTTAAGCTTTTCTTCACCTACTAAAGGGTTTTATGTGCAGCGGAGACGAGTCAATCTTCATTTTAGACCAGAGGGCAACAGAGAGGGCAGCGGACCCAAGGGACACGCACGGAGGTCGCCGTCACAGCCGAGGCAGGAAACGATGAGAGGCTGAACTAGGGCTCCGGAATCAGATGGACAAGGACATGGCCAGAGGTTCCCAAACTTGCAGGTCCCAACACCCCGAGTGTCTCAGGAAGTTTTCTCACAGCACCCCCGGGCCAAAAGGCAAGCAGCCAGCGCTCCAGCCCCGTCAGTGCTGTGCCTCCACCCAGGGCCTGCTGCTGGGCCCTGCGCCGCTCCTCTGACCCGGCGACCGACGGAACGCCCTCCTCCTTCTCTATTCTGCAGTGATTTTGTGTGATGCTGACTCTCTATCGCAGGAACCACTTAGTTAGACAAAGATAGGAGATCATAAAAAAAGGAATACAATGGTCAGATGTTGAAACTGTGCATACCCCCAGCTAGTAGTTCATGGGATGTTGGACAGATGTTTCCCCCGCAAACCAAACACATCCCACAATGCCCGTGAGTCTGCTGCAAGGTCCTGGAGGGCCTCGGTGAGCTTCCGAATGCACATAAGCCACGTTCAAGGGGTAAGAACCAGGCAGGCTTGAAAACTGGCTTGATGCAGAGATGAAGGTCTCCCAGACCTCAAGCCCAGAGTTCTGGGTGGGTCGTGGCGCCAGCAAAGTGACACAAAACATACAGGAGGGGAAAGGTCAGGCTGCGAAGTCTTTAGAGGTCAAGATGCAAAAGAAAGAAATGACTCCAAATACTACCTATCTACAAATATTCAGTAATACTCTGCTTCATTTAGTTTGAGAATTTTATAGAGAATGAACGAACCTCATACCCAGAGATTTCTTGAAGCCAAATGGAATGGAAGAACATCCGTAAACTCATTATAAAGAGTGCTTCCCAGTCTCACCCCACTGCAGGCTGCTCAACTGTGAAGTAAAGGATGTTAGGCACCGGCAGGGTCCCTCTTTCCTCCTACTGAGCACTTTGAAAACAACGTCATTGCTATGCTGACTTTCCTTCCTGCTATTTTGCTACATGTGAAAATCAGAAAAGCAATGTATCCATTTTAGGAAAGGTTTTAAAGATGGGAGGGAGAGAGGAGAAAAGTTAAATTCATGGCTAAATTTATATACATCTACAGAACTACCCAGAATACCTAACGTTAATGCTGTATCCGTGGGCTGCTTCCTTCAGAGCCGCCCACGACGACAACCGTAAAATGTGAGGCTCTCCGGGGCCGGGCTGGACTGCTCTGCAGGCGGTGCTCGCCTCCCGCGCCACAGGCAGGGCTCTTCCTCAGAAGGCAGAGGAAGCCCGGGATGGGCGCGGGAGAGTTAGTGACCATCTAAGTCAACTCTCGACACAGAGAGCAACCAATACTTAAAAAAAAAAAAAAAAAAAAAAAAAAGGTCCCACAATAAATTCTTGTAGCCCTCAGGTTCTTAACAGATGTAGATGAAATCCTGTCCACGAGAACATGAGGGAACCCACTTCCTGAGAAACAGCCAAGAACATCTGCACTGCACTCACCAAGACACTTGAAAGGGATCACAATGCGGCTCTTGCACTGTTTTTTGTCCCTCCGGCACCAATTGTCCACACTCACAGGCTGGTTGGCTTCCATCACATTGGTGATCTGTAGCTCTGGATACATCTGCAAGGGCAAAGAATACACTCAGAATAAACTGACTTGGTCCATAATAAAGGTACATTCACTAGCAAGTAAGGATGAGGGTCTACGTTTACTCAGCGTCACTATTGTCCTATCTATGAATCTAAAGTCCACCCTGCTGCTTCCAGCTCCAGATAAACTCTTCAAGTAAAAAGATACTGCAATGATTACTTTTGTCATGACACACAGATTTCTGACTAATGCATTCCCTTAAAAAGAAAAAAAAAAAAGGAATCTTTCTTTAGGAACATACAAAAGCAGCAAGCTGTCAGCCCCCAAAATCTGTAAGGTATCAAAGCCACTTGAAGGGTATGTGTAAGTAGCCCAGTTCATGAACTAAAATATTTAAGAGGGAAATCTATGGAAATGTCTGTTAATGTAATCTAGGATGATGCTCTGACCCCGGCCCTATGCGCCAAGTCTTGCTAAGTAATAAATTCAAACATCTCATAGCCTTTTCTAGATCAAGTTCTGACCCAAAACCAAGTTGAATCAGACCTGAGATGATCATTTACAGCAAGCAGAAAACACACGCACAAACATGACACGCTTTGCTTCGCCCTCCCCCCTAACGAGTGGAAGCCAGGAGGACCGGGCTGGCTGGTGCGGTGCCCGCCAGGCTTCTGCCGAACTCCTCCCTGACAGGGCGAGTGCACAGCACACAGAGGCAGAAGCCTCGACAAGTCTCAGTCACATCGCACGCTTAGAAACAAACGACAGGCCTGGGCGCCCGGCATCAGCAACTTGGTCTTAGGTCAAAAGAGAAGAATGACAGAATATCCGTATCTAAAGTAAACAGTGCAAACTTGACCCAGAAAAAAAGCGGTTTTAACTTTCTGGTAGCGCTCTTACCTCCTGACAGTACTGCAGAACTTCTTCTTTTGTTCCAAAGCAGCTCTTAGTGCCTGTTGGGTCAGGTTCCCATTTCCCAGTCTGAATGTTCACATGCATATTTAGCTCCCCACAAAACATTGCAATCTGAGGCTCGGCGACAGCAAATCCTGTTCCGGCATTGGCTGCAAGAGCCTACCAAAGGGGGACAAAAACGCAAGTTTACTCCAAAAAGTCTGTACAAAAGCCCAGTCATGCAGTTGTTTGTGACAACAGAATCTACTTTTTTAACAAATTTTCATTCCTTACTATTTTTATCGCATAAACAATCTTTTTCTCAGGAGCTAGGCCAGAATAAAAAATAAACGTTGGATGTACATGATCAACGTGAAAGGTCAATGAGAAATCTCACCCCCAATCCCCATCTGGGTACTTTTGACTTGGCAGTCTAGAACCTGACCGTGGTCTCCTCCAATACAGGCAAACCCACTTTCTATTTCTTAATATATCAAACCACACAAGTATAAAATGCCTAAAAATCCAGTAATTTTACTCAGTTCACTCACACAAAATTTTATTGAGCAGTTACTATTATGCAAAGCCACACACTAAACGCTTAGGACACAGGGCGAGCAAAGAGTGCGGCCCCTGCTCTCTTGGGGCCCGCAATCCAGGGCAGCAGCCCACACACCAAAAAGCGTGACTGTGCGCCCAGACGCCCTAGGAAGGAAAGGAGAGCACAGCACTGAAGAAGAACAGAAAGGGGGCTCTGCCTCAGGCTTGGGTAGGGGGATCGGGCGAGCTTCCTGAAGAGAATGGCTCTGCTTGAGGAGAGCAGAGCTTTGAGCATTCTCAGCGGAGGGAGGGCAGCGAGCCGTAGAGACGGGAGGAGAGGCGGGAGGAGAGGCGTGCAGGGGCCAAGAGGGGCCTCCGGTCTGTATCACTGGATGAGAGCAGAGGTTCTAAGCACCGAGTTACTATTTTCAACCTGTAGTCCTGATGCTTTCCTCTGGCTGCAGGTGAAGACGAGACTGAAAGGAACCACGAGTGCACGCAGGGAAACGGCTCCGGAGGGAGGAGGCGCACAACCCCAGAGAGAGACGGTAGCATGGGCGGAGGGAGGGTGGCGGAGAGCGAGATTCAAGTCATCCCGGAGAGCAAACCAAGCATGACTTGGTGACAGGTTGGTTAGGGGTGAGAGGAAGAGGGCAAGTCTGGCTAGCGATACTCAATAAGCGATTGTGTCATTCATTGAACAAAATACTAAAGGGAATGTCATGAGCAAATTTCTCTCATGTTTGGTAAAAATAATCAACTATTGTATAAAGTCTTTCTTAGGCTAGTCTTCTCTTCTTCGCGAAAGACCACAGCCATTAACAACTCACTAGTTACAGGTAAGAAATAACTTCTAGGCATGATGGCTCCCACAAAGTCTCTTGCACTAGGAAAAAACACAGGCATCCCAACATCTAAAAAATGCCAACACTGATGGCGGCATCTGTTGCGGGGGTGGGGGGGATAGGGTTAAACTGTGGGGTCTGCTACATTGCTCTTTTTAAAAAGAGCAATTAACCCTGACTAGCGTGGCTCAGTTGGTTGGGCGTCTGGCTCAGTTGGTTGGGTGTCGTCCCACAAAGTTAGAGGTTGCCAGTGGATTTCCAGTCAGGGCGCATGCCTAGGTTGCGGGTTCAGTCCCTGGTCCAGGTGCCTGTAAGAGGCAACTGATCGATGTTTCTCTCCCTCTCTTTCTCAGCCCTCTTGCCCTCTCTCTAAAAAATAAATAAAATCTTAAAAAAATAAAAAGGGCAATTAACATAAAACAGTTTTCCTTTAACAGAAAGGGTAGGTCTGGCTGAAAGTATATGGAAAACATGTGCTTTCTAAGCAATTCTTATCTATGCTGATGGACAACACAGACACGAATGATCCTTCCAATCAGGAGCCTACATTAGATATTTAAATATACTATCATCTTTCTCCAGAACGAATTTACCACCCAACATGTTTTGCTTTTGAAACACTTACTACTGGCACAAGAGAAGGAAGCACAAACTCCTGCTGGCTGGCTGGGAGAAAGCGAATTTGGAAGGAAAATGTTGTCTGGATCAATCTGGGTTGAAAAACACCTACTAAACCCAATGAGAACAATTAGCAGCTTTATCAACTAGAGTCAATTGTAAGCCTACCATGATGAGAATTTATTCAAGTAGAAGGCAGATCTCATGCCTTAAGTATAGCTGCATTGGAGCTACAGATTGGTGTCAAGTCCGGTCTGCCCCCAAAAAAGAAAAAAGCATTTAAAGATATTTGTGGAAAGGACACTAATTGCATTTAATCAAAAGAAATCACTAAACGTTATATGGACGCACAAGACAAATGCACTAATTCTCACGATGAGTTCAAGATGTGAACCAAAATGCTCCTTATGGTGGCCAGTCTTCTTCTGGGAGCCATTTCTAAGGAGTATAGCTAGAAACCTGGACTGTGGTGCAGAGGAAAATGGACCTAGATAAACGGGTACACACAGAGACAAAGGCAGGAAAACCCCCGGGACACGTCTGTGTATTGAAAGTGATGCTCCCCCCAAATTCTTTTCTTCCTATTTAAAAAGCCCAGACAGAAATAAATGGGGGATGGGGAGGAGGGCCGGTAAGGTATGACAAATATGTAATCAAGAAAGTCAAATCGACAGGTCCAAAGAGTTTCCTCAACTTGCTATTTATGAACTATCACCATTAAATCTGAGAGATGCTGAAAAGTAGTTCCTAAATTCTCTGTGGCTTTGTGCATTCTTTATATTAAAGGCAGCTATGAAATAGGATTTCGGGTGTGATGTCTAATCTCTCAAGTGTGGGGTGAGGAATTCCTCTTATATTCCAAAAATGAATACAGGTAAGACACGGGGGGCAGCTGGTTTGTGAGGTCACCCAAGCCACAGCCGTGGAGTGGTCGAAACCATGCGGGCCGCCAGTTCTCAGCACCGAAGATCACGCTGCACGTGGTTCTCATCATGGTTGTTGGCTGAAAGACCACAAGAGCTCCAACTGCATGCACGTCCAGCTCATGGGTCAACCGCTGAGGTCAGTGCAGCAGTGGCAAGCGCATTTGATCTTTGTGCTGAGATGGTCGGCACTGCCTTCCCTGAAGAGAAACTAAAATACCAGAGGTTAAAGCAACAGCAAGAGGCAGCGAGGCAGCGACAGCTTTCACATCAGTTACCGCTGAGAAAAAGGAGAGTACCTGGAATCGTTCCAGACAGCTAATAGGCTGCAGTGATTCACTTTTGAGTTCAGAAAGATTAATCCTTGTGGTCATAAGAGACTCTCAAGAAGGTATCATCTGAAATATAAAAAGCCTCTGCGGACCATGTCTAGGAATCAACTAATCAAACATACCCCAACCTTATCTAGGGTATAATGGGATCTTTTTTTTATGTTTGTACTTCTCTACTTTGAAAATGCTCTTATTTAATGGGCTCTCCATTTTCTTAAGCATGCTGTGCCTTGATCCATTACATCAACATATAAATCAATCTGTTTCCTAACCTAACATGTTACAAATGGGATTTCACTGCCCAGTCAGCACTTCTGATATCCTGTGAACCTGGAATCCACTCTGAAAGAAAATTAATGCCCCATGCTTTGGCACTTAAGCCAGTCCCTGTGATCTATGCTCGCTGCAGCACTTTGAAGGCTCCGAAAACAAATTGCATCAATTGCTTTCTTAGCCCAGTGCTTCCATTTTACTTAATAATTCATTCTTGATAAGAAATTCCATTTTATTAATTTGGCTCAGGGAAAAGGTTTAGCTATCTAAGGACAGAAACTCAACTTGTTAAAAACTGCTTCTAGTAACTTGGTTGAAAATATGGAATGGCTTAAAGCAACAAATACATCTAAGTCTGAACCTAACTTTCCCCCAGCCCTTTAATCATTCACCTCCAGAGATGCAACCCCGAGACCCAGCTAAGCCCCACCTCCATTCCAAGACACCTGGGACCAGTGCAGGTTCCCAATCCAAGCACATATGTGAGCCCATTACTTCCTCCCTCCCTGAAGCTATTACCCCAGAGTCTCATCTGGCCCCAGGGTTTGTAAAAGTGCCTGCCGCAGAGGAGAGGGATGCTTCTGTAAGAAGAGGGTTCTATCTTATGGCCAAGTGAGTCATGTTTCCTTGGGTATGAAGGGGCTACATTATAGCCTCACAGGTGGCCCAGCTTCCCTGGGAAGTCAGGTTAACTTAAGGTTTTATTTACTTAGAGACAGGGGAAGGGAGGGAGAAAGAGAGGGAGATGAAACACCGATGTGTGAGAGAAACATCGATTGGTGGCCCCTCACACGCCCCCAACTGGGGGCCTGGTCCTCAATCCAGACATGTGCCCTGACTGGGAACTGAACTGCGGACCTTTGGGTTCACAGGACGATGCCCATCCCATTGAGACACACCAGCCAGGCAACACAGTTCTAGTCCTAATTAATACTGAACAATGACAGCAAGTGGTAGCATCTCTGGAACATCCATTTACTCCCAGCATGCTCGTGATACTGAAAGATACAGCACTGGCACTCAAAGACGTTTTAAACCTGGAGTCAGTAACATGACAACCTATTAATGGATGCAAACACCCTCTATACAAACTCATTTCCATTTATGCAGAGTGGTAAGTGCTACTTCATGCTTTGTAAATTAAAATGACTTAAATCTTTGTCCACGAACCTGCACCTAAGATTTACTTCATTGAACAAAATTTTAAAAATCCAAAGTTTCAAAGTAGCTCCCTAAGATTTTTACTAACGACAAAAGGGAAGACAAAGTACTTCACAGTGGAGACCCCAACGTTTACCTCCCCAACAGGATAGTTGAGAAGACGGATGAAGAAAGACTTAGGGAGAGGCTGAGGGCCTGTTAGAGACGAGAAAGTCTAAGGAGGAATGACCAGTACAGGCCAAGTGGGGGCCTGAGCAGGGTAGGGTCCTGGAACAGGGAAAGGCCGTTAACAGGGAAACTGGAGCAATTAGTGGAACAAGGTCTGTAAGTCTGTTAATAGGTTGTATCAATGTTAATCCCCCAGGTTTGATAACTGCGAGGTGGTTATTTCAGATGTTAATATCAAGGGAGATGGGCTAAGGGTATAGGGGAACTCTCCATAGTATTTTTGTAACTCCTTTTTAAACTCTAAGATTAGTTAAAACTCA